GGATGATCTATACCTCGTTAGAATCGTCTTAGTGAGCTGATTCGAATAGTGGTGGTTTCATCGAATTCTGTCTAGTGATTCAAGAGTTATGGTCGTTTTTGTAGGTTAACAACTATTATTTATTATATTAATATATGATAAAATTCAGAATAAATTATAATTATTTTTCAGTAATGTTATGTGTTTTAAATCTACGAATCGAAGATTAGTATAAAAGTATTTCAAAGAAATAGTACTAACTACACTTACCTATAAGTTAAAAATCATCCATAATTGCCATTGAAGATCTAGTGATCCTGACTCATATTTATTAAATAAAGAGTCTTAGTTAATAAAATCAAAATATAAACATGCCTGATATTCAAGATATTTGTAAAAAATGAACAAAAAATAATTATACCCGATACATGTTAACCAAATATGGTTTAAACTATATTAATAATTTTAAAACACCAGAAGCTTGGTTATGATTTGCAAAGTATCATCTGCCCAAATATATATATAAATGTTTATTAATACTAGGATATGATATTATTAGTAAGGACCATTGGGAAAACTTTGTATTCCATATTAAAAATAATCTAACCAGAAATGAATCTGTAGCTAATCACTCTGAATTTAAAGAATTTAAAATTCAAGTAATATATTTTGTAACTTTGTATAAAAAAAATCAATCAGTGATTATTATTCAGCAAGCATATTATTTATGAAAAAAATAAATAAATTTGGCTAAAGTAATCCAGTATACAGTAATTAAATGGTTTTATAGACCTGGTGAATTATTTATAAAGCAAGCCAAAGGTCAATATTATTGCAAAGCAATGACCCAAAGGATCTATCAAAATATGAATAAGCTCTATCATTAGATAGAACAGATTTTATCTCTGCAATCAATAATTATAAAAGATATTGTTACCTGAACCTGTTTAGTGATATGGAATACAGCTTTATCAGTTTCAGTCATTGTAAATGTTAAATTATTTTATTAATACAGATTTAAAAATATGTAGTATATGTGCCCAAAATTAATTATCCAAACATTGGTTTTTTTTCAATTAGAGATATACATTATTTGGGAATAGTGCAACTAAATATTTTTAACTTATCTAAATTACTAGAATAGATCTTATATTTTTTAGAAATTGATCGATTCCTCTATCCCGCTTTGTTTGTTAATCGGCTTTGGTACAAGTGTGGTATATCACTACTATGGGGGAGAGTTGAGTTAAAAGGTAATGATATTCATTACGGACATTATTTTCTAGTTGAATATAATTATTGTGAACGATATCGAATGTGGTTAGAAAGTTTCATAAAGCTGATATGCGAGGAGAAAAAACCTATCCATACCTCAAACCTGAAAAGCTTAAAAATTTTATATTATCATTCGATTACACATAAAATAATTAGATCCATTGTAAATTACTGCCCAAATGTAATTCATTTAGATTTTAAAAGTAGTGTGGACATTAGTGATAAGACATTAATTAAAATAGCTTCATCATATCCAAATTTAAAACATCTTAATTTATGGGATAATCGAATAATAACTGATGAAGGACTATGTCAAATTGCACAATCATACAATAAATTGGAATATCTAAATATTTCTTATTGTAATGATATTATTAACAAATTATTAATAAAATTTACAAGTCATGCCATAATTTGAGAGAATTTTATTTTAATGAAGCATATTGGATTACTGATAGAACTGTAAGTTGTATTTTAAACTCATGCTCTAATTTACGATGCTTAGGTATACAGGGTAGTTGAGAAAAAATCAAAGATGCTAGTATATTACTACAAATGCACCTCAAATTAGAGTACCTTGATTTCGCCTATGTTATGGCTTTTCGAAATAATTCCCTTATTGTAGCTATTATCGGATCTTCTCCAAATTTAAAATATTTGATATTTCTGGTAACAATATTGGAGATAAGGTTGTTGAAGTAGTAGCTAGTACATGCCATAAATTGGAATATCTTGATCTTGGAAGGTGTGGATTAGGGGCCTGCAAATTGCCTATTTTTGAGGCCCAGCCCACAACTAGGGTTAAAAATTTTTTTTAGGCTCAGCCCGGCCCGCATTTAGGGTTATCATTTTTTTGCCAGCCTGGCCCAGCCTTCAAAAATTTTTTATATAATTTTACAAATTTTTAGTCCCACACTGGCCCGCAATTATAAAGTTTTTTAAATTTTTCAGCCCAGCCCAGCCCACAATTATTAAATTTTGCTTCAGGCCTAGCCTGGCCCACAAAATTTTGTGGGCTAGGCTGCAGGACCCAATGCAGGCCTCTAGTGTAGATTCATTACCGAACCATTAGCATGTAATGTTATTCGATCATGTCCCAAACTTCAGCATCTTGAACTTGGATTTTGTGACATTTTCAATAAAACCATTAAAGAAATAGCCTGTTCGTGTCCTAATTTAAAATATCTTGATTTGGATGGCTGTAAAAAAATGTTAGTAAGAAAGTTGTAAAATGACTTAATCTGAGTATACATATTGAAAATTACGATTCATTATATGAATGATCCAATTCTGAATCATCTGATACTTCTGATTCTGATCTGATGACAACACACAGAGTGGGAGGTGGAAACACATCTAATGAACAGAATCTAGAAGAGAATCCTATGAGCTCATATCTGCCTCTACCTAATCCAATCTTTACTGATATAATTGATGAAAGTGATTTTATTTCTGCATTCAGTAATTATATCAGAATATCATCAGAAACGACTAACCCAAAACAGAATAATTTATTTAATAGTATCTTTCATGAGATTTCATGGCAAGGAGTTTAGAACAGATAATTAATTGTTAACTTTTTTCAGCTAAAGATATATAATACATAATATAAATTATTATCATGAAAGTAAAGATAATCAAAGCTAAAGTAGGAATGCAAAAAGTTAATTGTCATCTGAACCAGGATTTTTGGAAATCTCTATGTGTAGTAATAAACTTCTCAAGAAAATTGGTAGCATAATTAGCAGAAAGTTGACTCCTGAAAAAAAAAATAATAAATTTGTCAGAGAAGAAACCACAGCTCCACTTGGATTGATCATAATCCCACCTACATTTTTCTCTAATATAAAAAATAATGCCTGTCTTAGTAATAAAAAATCTATCATGATTCCAACTAAAGTACTCATAGAAAAATCTAACCCTAAAACACATAACTATATTTTATTGGGTAATAATTGGTTTTATGATAGAAAGTATAATAATGATGAACTTCAAACATACATACCTGAAATTGTAATCGACACAGAAGATGCTTTTGTAAAAACAATTCTGCATATTAAAGATCTCAACAGATCTGGAGTATCAAAAACTAAAAAAAGCCAAAGGCTATAATATCAGTTAATAAAAGAGATATTCATGATTTTTACAAAATACTTCCTAGAAAATCAAAAGATTCATTGTATTGCAGATCAAATATCTCTATAACTTCCGATTCGAGTACTTCGAATGTCGATTCCATATCTAGTTCGGTAATAGAAGTTATATATATGAAACACCCCATTCTAAAGCGTAAAGTAAAAGATAAAATTAAATATCAAGCTTTATAGAGCCTTGCCTATGCTTTGCATAATGGAGCTAGTATCTCTGATACAAATCTCATCATATTATAGGACAAAGCTTATGACTCTCTGAGTCACCCCTATAGGCCTCAAGGGAGTGATGTTATGTATAAATCCAACATAAGCAAATCTTAGTCTGGGTCATGATCCCATTAAGTCATATGTACTGCTGATGCCATGCATGTCTTAGATGAATCAATTGATCGCTATAAAATAATACCTGAATGTATCATGTTTTTGCTCAAACTTTTTAGCATATTCTCAGTAGTATATACATAGTACTTGGTCTATATATCGAAGTTTCTATAATATAAGGAATAATATATTAGTCTTGCTACTTTTACTAATAAAATAAGATAAATTTGTCAATAATCAATTATACATAACTTTACTGCTAAATATACTTGAAATGGTAAAATTATATCTGATACTTAACCAAAAATTGAGTAGTATTATGAAAGTTAAATTCTAAATAAGATCATATATCACTCTAATGTTATTTTAAAAGTTGATTATTAATTGTATGAAAATCTACATATATGTATATATTGGTGGAATCTTAATATAATGGTTAGCATTGTAATTGTAAATATTCATCAGATATACTAGTTTTAGTATAAGCAACCTTTTAGTTAATAAATATCACTTATCTTACTCAATGTTATCCAGACTATGTATTTTTAAGTTTCTAGATCCAGGTTCCTATTCTCAAAATCAGAATTTATACCTATGTTTTTAATAATAAATTAATAATAATACGATACGTATTAATATAATTAACTTTTTTTTTTCAGTATATTCTGACCTTTACTGACAGAGACAATAAATCAGATTCTAAGATGTGAAATCTTATTCTTGTATAAAAAGGATTCACAAATCTTTAGTATACCCTTCTACCATTTTCTCTATAATAATATCTTCAAAGAGGGCATAGCTAATAAAACAATAAGTCATTTTAACCACTTTGTAATTACCTTTAGTAATAAATTATAATAACCAATAAAAAATTAAGCATTTGTCAGTCTCCAGCTAATTCTCCCAAAACAAAACAATGTACCTATAATTTTTTCAAAAATAAGATATCAGTATCACAATAACCTAATTAATTTGTTTGTATGTTACCTTCACATTCATGTATCTATACTAATAGTTTTTTTTTCCTGTTATAGATGTCTTCAATTAATGTTTCAGAAATTACACTATTTTTGGCCTTTGTGTTAATAATGATGTTCACTGAGAAAATTTCTGTCCATCTGATTTTCATTGCCATGTGCTCTGTTACATATGTCATCAGACAACAACTTATTGCAAAACTCAACACACATATGAAAAGATTAACTGTATATCTTACATCACAAGATGCTACAATTGTGATTAAGAAACAGAAAATCCTAACAATGATAAATACTGTAATTGAAACTATTAATGAAATCACTACCAATTATGAATCCCTTCATGACCAGTTGAACCAAATAACTGAGATGAGTTCTGTGGCATCATTAATATCTGAACAATTTGCTGACCCATCCATATCTACATTCAATTTTTCTCAAAGATCTTCTGGTTCTTCTCTGGGTTCTTCTAATGACACAAGTCAATTATCTTTTTCCAATATTACCTCAACAACCAGAAACCACTTTAAAATTCTTTTTGATAAGATTATGATAGACAATAATTATTCTTTAGATGATATGTGTAATATGATGTCTGTTGAGATTCATAGTCTTGGGATGGGAAAGATTGGTAAGGAAACTATAAAAAATTTTTATTATAATAATGGTGATTTTAGAGGTAGTACTTTAAATAAAATAGGTGCTTGGATCGATAGCAAAAATAATTTTAACTTAGCTAATAATACGGAGTAGCGGGAAGGAACTGCTACATTATGGTCTAGGGGCCAGCAGGCAGAGTTTTTCGTACTTTATTCCTCCCTTGAAACACCGCTACTCCAATACAATGATTTGATTTTTAAATGAATTCGTTCGCTGAATTTATTTATCATGGTTTGTTTTAAAATACATTTGCAACATATCTGATATAGGTGATTGATCTGTTAAAGTAACAAAAAATTATTTTTCTCAATCCACATTATCGGGAAGATCAAATTTTAGTAGAAATAAATTACAGAAACAAAAAATTAGAATAAACATGTATGTACTTGCAGAATAAAAATCCTTGAGGCTTATCATTATGCATTCTTTCCAAAACATCAAATCGCATTAGAGGTACAAGGGGCTCAGCATCGGTTTCATAACACTTGCTGGTATGAAGATGTTAAAAAATTCGAAGACATTATTAATCGTGACCGGAAAAAAAGATGCGTATGTCAAGATAACGGAATTTTTCTTTTCGAGGTATGGTATGATGAAAAACCAGAAATTGTTATTCCGGTCGTACGAAAATAACCACCTGATCAGGTGATATTAATATTACATCATACTGTCATCAATACGTGCTCTCAAATTTGTATATAGCGATAGTTTCTTTCAATTTATTTTTTTTTAGCGTAATGGCAACCACAGTTTCAGGAACAGAGAGTAGCCTTGGGGTTAGTGGAGGGGTTAGTGGAGTTGGTGGTCGTTCAAGTAGTAAAGGTACTGTTTTATTATTGATTATTAATAAACATGAAATAGATATTTACAGTACAAAACGTACAAAGACATTTGGGTCACTTCCTAAAAAAGCTAGTTAACTTGATTCAGGATAATACAGAATCTAAGGTATTAATAATGTATTCCATTTTTGTTTGAAACATGTATTTTGAATAAGCCAACCATCTGTTTCTCTTAGGTGATCACTCAAATCGAAAATGAAGTTAATGCAGAACTGTGCAAAGTACACGATGTGGATATTATAGAACTTGAATTGCCACGTATAAAGGCCGAGGGCAAGAAACGTAATAAAATTTTTGAAACGATCCATAATATTTTTAATGCTGAAATTGTTGACAATAAATTATTCATCAAAGTGGGTTACCATTTTGTTTTATAATTATTTTACATACGTTTCTAATTATTTGTTACTATTCAGTTTAATGGAGGAATTAAATCAGAAGTACATAAGAAAGTGGTGTATTCGCTTGATCAACAACTTCCAACTTGGTGGAATCAGATTGATTCAATATGTGTGGTTAACGGTAATCAGTATCGACCTGATGTAGGTGGTTGGAACCCTAAACCAGCACTTAATCAAAGAGTTTTTCCTATAATTAATCCATGTCCACCACCGTTGCTATGGATCGAGGTGAAGATCTTATTCCCTTATCTTCAGAACTATGCAACTATTTCTTGACAATCGGCTAAAATATTGATAGGTAACCTATGATAATTCTGGGGATTGTGATAATGCTATAAATAAATTCGCACGCGTTCAACCCCACTGTCCGACCACAGAATTTGTAATCGTCGTTGTTCCGGCTACTGTAACCCCCCTTCCAGCAAATTCAAATCCAGGCGTCGGTTCAGTTGCGGCAACACCCAAAACGGCTCGTCCATCTCGTGCTCCATATCTTGGCCATTTGTCCGCGGGAAATATTATTACTGCAATTCAATGGTACAAGATAAAATGGAATAGGCATCTTGTATTAGGATGTGGAGCGAATATAGGTTTTAATGATATACTAGAAGTCTATACATAAAATTTATAATCAACAAATCAAATTATTATACTTTATTATGCACAAAAATTTATGTGATGATATTGGTATCGGAATCTAATTTGCAAATAAAGAACATAAGGATTTGCTATGTGCGAAGCGATATAGAGGTTAGAATGGGTGTTTCTACTACTCCATATAAAAAAGAATTAAAAAAGCATCATTTAATATTCATTGAATATGCGTAACTTTAGAAGTAAAGCCTCATTATGTGATAATATCAAATTGCGCTAGTACCCTCTTCTTATTTCATAAAAATCGTGTTACAGTAAAATAAAAAATGGCGAAGCCACCAGACCCCCCTTCTTTATTTAATAAAAATTGTTGCCGGAATAACAATATAACATACAAATAAAAAAAATTATTTTATAATAAAAAAATAAAAAAAAATTGATATAGGGGGTACGATTATAGATAGTCATCTGCATGACCAGGATTTATAACACTCCAGTCATCATTTTTTTTATAATTTTCTACGGCTTCTCTCGAAATAGGGGAGAGGGGGGTCATTATCTGATTTTAATGTAACAGAAAATTATATTTCAGAGAAATACTCAAAACCCGTTCCAGAAAAATACAAACTTAATTACGCAATATGAAATTTACTTACAAGTTCTATTTCTGTTGGATTGTTAGAATTATTAGTACTGCTCATTTTGTGTCCCTAAAAATAAAAAATCATAATGAATAAGGTTTCGCCCCAGTAGTCATCCTAGAAAACAATTGTGGGTCGAAACCCTCTGTATAAAACAAATACATACGTTAGAAATAAATTACAAGTGAATTAAGTAAAAAAAATTATATATGAGCAAAAAATATTATAACCCACCCAACAAGGAACAAAAAATCGCTTATTTTTATACTTAGCATTCGTTAGATCTGAGAATCTGCCAGAAAAAAAGTTACATGATTAGTAATCGCATTACTCTAGCACTACCAGATCACACTTAACAAAGCAACTCCGCTCGGTCATAAGTTCCAAACACTGAGCCTATTTTGTTATTTTTTCTGGAAAAATTAACCCCCTTAGATTCAACGATCTCTCCTGCGAAGTAAAAAAGACAACGATCTTGACGATCTGGGAATTCCAAGTTCCTGCGACATATGAATTTTGATAAAACTACCATAAAGAACGTTATACTCCTTGCCCTTATAGCCTTTTAAAGTTCCATTCGCGCTTTTTCTTATCGCAGAATCGTATATAATAAGAAAAGCCTTTCCAGAAATTCATAATATTCGTTATTAACCGTGAGAATTTATTCTGCAGATAAGTGATACAAACCACATACCTAATTTTGTGTAACGAACCTTATTTTTTTATGCGATATTTTTAACGTTAATATTTAAATTCCGACGGTCTCTGGGGGCCGTGGAAAAGTATGACATAGTGCATGAA